GGAGTTTAAGATGAAAACAGAACTTAAGCAAGTGTGCAGATCAGAATTGCCCATTGAGTTTCCAAAGCTGTCTCTTACAAGCAGCTGCCACATCTTCCTTTCAGAGCGGCTGGCGGGTTAGCGGCCGGCTTGGCACCCACCACACCCCCAGACTCCCTCACGTTCTTCATCGCGTCATTGACGTGCGTGGAAACAGAGTCCAAGACGCAACTGCCCGACGGCAGAAAACACATTGCACAAATCATGTCATACCCTTATGTGGATCTACTATATAATCATTAAAACGATTGTTGATAGCATGGGGAAATGTTTATCGGATGTTCCTAGAGGGGGAGATGTAGATAACAAAAGTGTACAATGGTATGCTTTCAAGCTTTTGTGAGGGGGCTTCAATAAATGTGTGGAAAATCCCATTATCTATTCGTCTCATTTCCATGCACTTTTTAAAGGTTCCTTGCACACATTCCCATCCCCCTTAAACAGCTCCATGGGATTGTGACATGCAATTAGCTGCAAACACTTAAAAGTATACAAATGAATATAGTTGCCATATAGATGTCAAATAGATCTCTACGTAAGAGCACTGGTGGTGTAGTAGTTACATGCTGGGAAAGAGTTCAAGAAGAAGGAAAAGTTATTGAAAATGATGATGACAGCAATTGTACAATTTTGCTTGATCTAATGGAACTATGGATTGAAATAATATCTGTAAAAGCTCCTAATAAAATGTTTTTTAAAAAATAAAACTACAGCGAGGGGCCGGCTCCAACCCCAACTACTACGTGGGCACCTGCCCCTCCCCCCAGAAGAATTTATTTCAAAGGATGGCACTGAATCTACAGCTCCGGGAGAGGGACATATCTGATCGGAGCACACGAGGGAGCAGATGAAGGGGGAGGAGGAGAAAGTGGAGAACATCATGGCCCACCAGGCCGTGAGGACAATGTTCCCGATTAGAGCAGCCAGTCCACAGAGAGGACCACATGGCCGGCCCCACTATGAGACATGACGTCCCTCACTGACCCA